TGATGTTTTTCTCTTGCCAATCTTAGTATCTTGTCTTTGTCTGTGGTTCTGGTCAACCTGGCTATAATGTGTTTTGGAGAAGATCTTCTTGGGTTGATTCTATTTGGGGTCCTTTGTATTTCTTGAGACTGGATCTTCGAATGCCTCTCTAGGTTTGCAAAGTTTTTTTGCAGGATTTCAGGGAATAGATTATCAATGCCCTTATGGGTCTCTTCACCTTCTGGAAGGCCAGTTATCCGGATGTTTGGATGTTTAATGGTGTCTAGTACTTCTCGTATATTATTCTCAAATTTTTGGGCCATTTTCTCAGACTTCGTGGTGGATTTTTCCAGGCCAGCCATTTTCTCGTGTATATCTGAGATTCTATTTTCTGAATGATCTTGTCTGCTTTTAATACTTTCAAGGGAGATTTTGACTTCCTGTATTATAGACTTAATCTCTAACAGTTCCGTTTGAGTCTTTTGTAAAGTGTGTAATTCCTCTTGTAGATCCTGCAAGAATTTCCTCATCTCCTGGAACTCGTCAACTTCTTTTTCCTTTCTCTTTAGCAGTTCATTATCTCTCTTCTTTTCCATCTTTGTTAGCTTCAACATTATGAATGCTCTAAATTCCTTATCAGACATTTCCATGATTTTCATCGAACTGCTTGTGGATGAAGAAGAGTTACTCGCTTCCCTTGGAGGAGAGGTATTTTCTTGTTTTCCCATATTTCTTGTGATCCGGTGGTGATTTCTTGTCATCTGATGGATGGTGTGTTTCTTTCAAATTCTTGAAGTTCAGTCTGAATGTTCAGGAGCAAGCGGACAGAGGTGATCTAGAATCTCTTTGCCATTCTGTTGTGATCGCTGGTGCAGCAGATTCAGTAGATACTGGGGAATATTTTAACCTTATTAGTATTTGGGTGTTTAGTTTCAGTGCTCTTAGATCCTGTCTAGTTCGCTGGAGCCATGTGGAATCTTCTTCTGAGAGTCTGGCCTCTTCTGCTGCTAGCTGGTTTGCTGGAGGCTTTTTTTATCTTCATTTCCTAAAATACCTAGTTTGCTGGAGCCATGTGGAACCTTCTTCTGAAGGCCTGTCCTCTTCTCTTAATTTATATTTTTCTAATGAGTAGAGATACTGAGCATGTTTTCATATATCTGTTAGTCATTTGTATACCTTCTTTTAAAAGATGTCTGTACAAGGGCGCTGAGGGATGGCAGGGTGGTGGGGTGGTGGAGACTGGCGGAGGTGCCACTGCGTGGGTGGGCAGTGCTGCTCTTGCCTGATGCAGCTCCAGGTGCTGGTGACTCAGGTGTTCGCAATGCTTTTCCTGCCACCCCTATAACACCTGCCTGTGGGCCAGCGGGGGTGCCCGGCTGGGCTGCAGCCCGCCCAGGGCTCCCCAAGGTGAGTGGGTTCTCTCTGCCACTGGGCGGCAGAGACGCCGCTGGGTGTCCAGAGTCTCCTGTGCTCTGGGTCCAGACCCCGAGGGGCGTCTCTGCGTCTTGAGAGGTAGCGTCTCATTCCAATGTAACTGTGCAGACACCTCAACGGTCATCAGACACTCAGTGTATCTTTTAATCAGGAAAAGTCTTCCATGAAATCTAAAAATTAAGTAATGACATCTGTCTTCCCAAAAGACTGAAATGGGAGCTACCGATTTGAGGACCCCATGGCTATGACCGTGATTCAAGTTTCGAGTGCCTCCTGCTATGGCAGAAGTCCTTGACAATTGGGCAGTGGATTCGCAGATTGCATCTGATGGCTCCATTCCTGTGGATTTCCTGTTGCCCACTGGGATTTAGATTCAGATGGGAGTGCCTCGGGAAGCTACTCTTTCTCATATTAAGCAGATGTTAGGGAAGCAAGTTCACTATGTCCCAATGTTTAACCTCCTTAGGGAGGCTGACTCCTCTATTTTGCAGGTGTGAATCAGACTGCTGTATATGAGAAGCCTGAAGCCGAAACACAAAGACGGTGACGCCAGACCTTTTCTGCCAGTTCTCAAATTAGTGACAAGAAGCTATGACCCCTGGGAGAATTAGATTAAAAATATGGATTTCTTACAGGAAAAGGTCTGCATGAATTTGATGCCTTGAAAGATCCAGAAGTGAATAAATTTCACAGAAAAGTGGGCAAATTCAACGAGGAAAAGATTCAGTCACTTGTTGGATTGTGTTGGATAGACTGGCTAAAGTGGACATATCCACCAGAGGACGAACCGTCTGTCCTTGAAAACGTAGAAGATAAGCTTTATGGAGGAAAGCTCCTTGTGGCTGTTCATTCTGAAAATAGTCAGGATGTGTTTAGCTTTCAAGTATCTCCTAACAGGAATCCTATCGAAGTAAAGGAGTTGGCAGTCCAACAACGTCTGAGTGTTCATGGGAAGGAAGACGGAGCTGGCCCCTGTGATTGGGAGTTGCACGTCAGTGGGAGAGTCCAGTAGGTATTCGGTGATCACTCACTAATTCAGCTTCAGTATACCCCAGTCTGTGTGACGAACAAGAGCCTGCCACATTTTACACTTGTGGAAGATTAAGACAATGTGTGAACAGGAAATGATGGGCATAGAAGCTGCCAGAAACTGAAATTCCCCTAACCCTCGTCTTCCCTTGCTATCAAAGAAAACACGAGTGTTTTCTCATGTTTGGGAAAATAACAGCCCTTTGCAGATGGTCTTGGTTAAGGGCAATGAACTTAACACAGAAGAAACGATAAAGGTTCATGTCAGAACTGGCCTTTTTCATGGTTCTGAGCTATTGTGCAAAACCATCGTAATTTCAGAGATAGCGGGAAAAAATGATCACATTTGGAATGAACCACGGGAATTTGATATTAAAATATGTGACTTGCCAAGAATGGCATGATTAAGTTTCACTGTTTACGCCATTTTGGATAAAGTGAAAACGAAGAAATCAACTAAAACTATTAATGCCTCTACATAGCAGACCATCAGGAAAGCAGGAAAAGTGCGTTACCCTGCAGTGTGGGTAAATATGATGGTTTTTGACTTCAAAGCACTGCTGAGCTCTGGAGATGTAGTATTGCATAGCTGGACTTCATTTCCTGATCAACTTGAAGAAATGTTGAACCCATTGGGAACCGTTCAAACAAATCTATATGCCGAAAATGCAACAGCTTTGCATGTTAAATTTCCAGAGAATAAAAAACAGTCATTATTATCATCCTCCCTTTGGTAAGATTATTGAAAAGGTAGGCAAGATTGCAAGCAGTGGTCATGCTAATGTATCAAGTCTGCGTGGAAAAAAGTTTCTTGCTATACTGAAAGAGACTTTGGACAGGGATCTCTTGTCTCAACTGTGTGGGAATGAAATGGGTCTTATTTGGACTTTGCAACAAGACTGCAGAGAGAATCTCCCACCGTCACTGCCCAAATTACTGCTGTCGATCAAGTGAAATAAACTTGCTCTGCTCCAAGTGCTGCTTGAGATTTGGCCCAGACTGCCCCGGGGAGAGGCCCTGGAGTTTCTGGATTTCAACTATGCAGACCAGTACGTGTGAGAATATGGTGTGGACTACCTGCGACAGACAGATGAGTGATGAAGAACTCCCTCAGTAACTTTTACAACTAGTTCAAGTTTTAAAATACGAGCCTTTTCTCGATTGTGTGCTGTCTAGATTCCTGCTAGAAAGGGCGCTTGCTAATTGGAGGCTAGGACAGTTTCTGTCTTGGCATCTTCGGTCAGAAATGCACATCCCTGCCCTCTCCGTACAGTTTGGTGTCATCCCGGAAGCATATTGCTAGGAAAAAGAAGGACGCATGGAAGTGCTTTCCAAACAGCTCAGAGCACTTGAAAAGTTAACTTTAAATAGTTTAATCAAACTGAACACAATAAAGCTAAACAGAGCTAAAGGGAAGGAAGACATGTCTGTTTAAAACAGAATGCTACGGACGTTCTCTCTGACCTGCAGTCACCTCTGATCCTGTGTGTTAGCCTCTCAGAACTCTAGCGCAAATACATGGATCTAAAATGAAGTCTTCGTGACTTGTGTATAACAACAAAGTATTTGGTGAGGATTCAGTTGTTCCTTGTGGGGAATAGTCATACTGTAATCCCTTCTCCTCCATTTCTTCTTCTCCTTGAGATTTTGGGCATATGCACACACAGAATTGAAAGAGAACTTTAGTGTGTGAGATCAGAATCATTTCTCTGTCTCCACATAGAAAATGTAGGAATAGAGTGACCATTTGTCTTGCCATTATGAATTAATCTAATTTAAGACATGGCTTCAAAGAGGCAAATACGGCAAACCTTAATGAAATTATACCTATTGGCAAGGAAGAGTTGATCTCAAAAGTCTTTTTTCCCCCCCAAAATCTGTTTTTTAGCATGTTAAAAGGAAATGCATAAACAACTATTTTTTCTTTCCTTTTTTTTTTGGTAACCTTGCCTGAACTCCAAGCAGTGATCTCACCCATCCTGTGGGTGCTAAAGGCAAACACAAATAATAGATGAATAATATCCTGTTGGTTAACTCTGCAATGCTACATAGCCTTACAAGTACTTTTTCCATAGGGCGGACACCACCAAGCCCCTCACAAGTACTTTTTCTCCTGGAGTCCACAGTTTCCAATCCTGCTCCAAGTTACCAGGTCTTGCATCCTCAAATTCTTGCATATTAAATTTTTAGCATACATTTCTGGAATCTTCTCCTCACTTCAGGTATGTATAGCCATTTCTGGATTCCTTGTAATTCATCCAGTCTCTAAATCTTGGGAGATGTGACAAATAGACAAATCTTTTTGGATTATCTATTTCTGGACATTCTTAATAAATTTTTTAAGCGTAATTTTTTTTTCTGACTTGAAATAAAAGTTTGACTTTATTTGACCTTTCTAATCTCTGATGCCTATCTAGTACTTTTTCTTAATAAAATTTCTCTGAATAGTTTGATTAGGTATTTTTAAGTCTGATAAGTGACTTTGTCCAAAATCATTGTTTCCCCAAATCTGAAATTGAGAGTCAACATTAAGAAATATTGACAACAAATATTTTTGAACTATACATTTGAGATGTTTGGGTATTTTGATCATTTTTACTACTTACTTGCTAATCCTGAGGTTTTATATTAAACATAGAGACAAACTAGGAAGATAATAGACTGCACAAAAATGGGGTGTGTTTTATTATAAATATATTTATTTTTATTATAATATACTATTTCAAATTATAGAATGACATACTGATATTTGCACTTTCTCTCAGTTCTTTTCTTTAGAAAGATGAATGAGGAGCCTGTAATTTATACTACACTAAACCAGAACTCTCAGCAGAAGCACACAACAAAAATTATTAAGAATAAATTTAGTTTAAATTAATTGCTATTCATCAAGGAGGCAAACACCACAAAAACATTAACGTAGCACGAAAAATGCTTGTCCACTAACTATATTATTAATTATAGTCACTTAACAAAACTGTGAAATGAAAATATTAACTTTCGCACTTTACACAAAACTTACACGATGTGTCCTGGGAGTATTGCTAAGCATTGTAGATTTCTAGTAGTAGATTTCTGCCTAAGTTTCTAGTAGTAGCAGAAAATCACCTGCTTTCCATTATTCAGTTTCAAGATGCAATAGCAATAATGCTGGAGAGGGATCAGTCTAGACTTTTTGGAGATTAGTTCATTACTTATCTATAGTTGGGCTTTCAATTTCATACTGAAGGCAATAATCACCTTCTAATAAGAATTTATTAACAGGTTTCCAGCTCTGTTAAGGTTAATTTTCTTTACTTCTATGTTCCTGTTGATATGTTTTACTATATTTGCAGCTTCAAAGTGTTGAGAACATGCACACAAAGTAATAGACATATCTAGTTTTCAAAAGAGATTTAAAAATGATTTCTTTACTTCTTTATTATAATGGATTCCCAAATCACAGAATGATATATTGATATCTGTACTCTTTATCCTACAGGTTTTTTTTCTTTATAAAGATGACTGAGGGGCCTTTAATTTATGCTACGCTAAAACAGAACTCTCAACAGAAATTTGTGACAAAAGATAACATTAAGAATAAACTCAGTGCAAATGAATTGCTGTTAATGAAGGAAAAGCAGAAACGTCACAAACAGAAAGTGCATAGAAATATAGCAGAAGACATCACTGAAAAAGGTAAATCATTGTATTTAACAAGTATGTAGCAAATGCTTAAAATTATGAGACGAATTATGTTACATACTGGTGACATAAAAACATAGCATAAAGTTTTTTCTGAGTATCTTTGGAAAATATACAAGTAAAAAAATAAATATTAGACCAGTGGTTAATTAAGGGATCCAGATCTCACATGGCCAAGTATGGTTCAAATCCTGCCCCGGGTGGCTTGAAAAACACTCTGGGTGCAGGTATATGCAAGCCCAGAATCCCAACAGGATAGAGAGATGGAGGAGACTCACTGGGCAGTACCTTCTCCTTCTCCCTCTTTCTCTGTCTCTCACTGGTATGAGAGACATGCACCCTCTATCAATAAAATACAAAACTGAAGAATCAATTTAATATATTTAGATTAAGACAAAGGCCAAATACTATAACGAAAGGTAGTTTGGAGTGTTCAAAAATTTAATTACTAAAGTGAGAGCTGATTTAGATTTAAAAGAAGAGTAAGATTGGAACGGTGATAAAGGTTGGAAATTAATTCTTTTGCTATAGGATTTTAGGAGCTGATGTATGAACACTTTATTTTGCATAGCTGCTTGAGAGGATTGAGTAGATAATTTTCTCTGAAGCCCCAAGAGTTTTACCATGCAAAAAGTAAGAATGTCATTGGATTAGTTGATTTCTGGGCTGGAGGGTGGTATATACAGCCAACACTGTAGTCTTCTATGTCATTATGTTCTGAAGCTGATCAAATAGTAATATATTCGTTTCAAATTTGGAACTAAAAATCAATTGGCTGTTAGCAAAGGTAAAATTAAACATTAAATATAGCAGGTTTAATACAGTTAACTTAATATAAAGTTGTAGGTTATTACTTGTTTCTGGAACATTGAGTCTGATGTTGAGGGCTTGCCTTTCCCAGATTTGAATGTGTAGCTACAAGCCACTAGTTTTCTGAAATTGCAGAGGGCAATTTTACAGATTACTGTAAAGATAAGTTGTTGTGGGACCAGCAAGCGGGATAGCAGTTAAAACGCTGAACTCCCACATGGGCGATTGTTGCTTGAGTCCAGGAACTGGTAGTTTGAAAATTATGCCTGGTGTGTGTGCGCGCATGTCCCAGTTCCCAGGAGGGCAATGGAGGAGAGGGGATTGCAGTGTGACCCTTCCCCAGTGGTGATTTCTCACTTTCCCTCTCATTGTCCCTCTCTGTCTTTCTCTAGCAAGCCCATGCTCCCTATGACAAAAACCTAGGAAAAAAATTAATCTTACTAATTAGTACTATTTAGTTTTAATCATAAGTAGAATGAGCCCCTTAACTACTTTCAAATTTCTTACTAGTTTCATTTGTTTATTTTCCCAAATCACTCCAGAACTACTTAGTCATGTTGCAAAATAATTCCCACTGTTATTTTAAAAAGTTGTATTTTGGGACCAGCAGCTGATATAATAGTTACATCGCTAGACTCCCATATACTCAATCACAGTTCAAATCCCAGACCGGTAGATTAAAACTCACACCAGGTACGTGTGCGTGCATATCCAAGATCCCGAGAGGAGAATGGGGGAGAGGGGATTGAGGGGTGGCCATTCTCTCTGGGGCAGGGGTGGGGGGGAGTGATTTCTTGCTTGCTGTCTCTCTGTCTCTCCAGCAAGCACATGCACCCTATAGCAAACATCTCTCTCTAAAAAATAAACAAAGAAACTTGTATTTTATTTACTCATGTGATTTAAAATCACATTTTATTTACTCATATAATTTAATTTGTAAATAGCTGATATTCTTGTAGTAGTCTTTCCAATTACCAACATAATTAGCTTGTCCTCTAGATAATCCATTTTATGTAGCACTGAAATGGCTGTTCTGTTTCTATGTTGAAAGCAAGATAAAGCTTGTTTCTCAAGTTTGTAAATTTGAATCTTTAAAGATAGTTCTAGTGTAATTGCTATCATCCCTGGTAGGAATGCATGGGAGATATGTGCTCTAGGAGAACTCAGGTAAAACCAGCCTTTCTTTCCTGTTCTAAATAATTAAAAGAATATTATGTCAGTTCATAAAACATAGCTCTTTTGGTTAAGCACATGTAACCAGGATGATGTTCACTTTTACCCTGATCTACCTTGTTTCCTTCTTGGTTCTCTAAGGTTGGGTGGGGAGAATCCTCAATGACAGATAGCTTTAGGATTTTATTTACTTCTTTTTTTTTTTTTTTGAGAGGTTTTAGCTATAGGGCGCGTGCACTTCCCAGGCAGAGAGAGACAGAGAGACAGAAAGCAAGAAATCACCCCTCGGGGGGGGATGGCCATGCCGCAATCCCTTTTCCTCCATTCTCATCTCAGGATCTTGGGCACGAATGCACATGCGCCCGGTGTGTGTAAGTCACCGGGTCTGGGACTCCAACTGCGGTCAACTACGTGGAAGTCCAGCGGCATAGTCATTATGCTAACTGCTGGTCCCGGATCTTGTTTACTTCTATCAGAAAGGTAAAAAATGACGTAAGTGATCCAATAGGAATTCAAGAAGCTTAAAATCTAGAGACTGTAATTCAAAAACAACCTCAATGAAATGGAATTCAAGTCTTTGAAATTTTTTTCTTTATAACAATTTTCATTTTTAAATATTTTGGTCTCTACTAATTTTCCATAGGGGTGATGATGGCTAAGGAAAGTGGTGAATATAAAACAAAAATAATACTAGTGGAACAAATGGGAGAAGTCGACTAAGAATAAATAAAATAACAGTTAAGTGTCATTGAGAATCAAAGTAAAGTTTGAGATTCTAGTTGTGAATTAGCACCAGAGTGACTTCTTTCATCAAGTCCCTGCAATCCAAATACAGGAAGAGAGAAGGCAGAATATAATTCAGCTTACTGTAAGTGTTACCTAAGCAGGTGTGGTGGACATTGAGCTTAATGGAGGCTGCCTCTCATTCTCAGTCACACAGCACTCACAGACATTGCTAACATAGATTCCAGCTGAAGGAAATACACAGAAACTCTGCTACTGAACCCAATGAGAACCAAACTTGAAGTACACTGCCTAATACTATTGTGTATATCTACAGAAAAAAGAGCTTCTTTACAAAAGCTTCTCTAAAAACTGGAAGGGACATTTCTTCTACCTAAAACCCAGTTATCAACTCACGGACATAAACATGAAAAGCAAGGAAATATGACCCCTCCAAAGGAACACAATGATTCTTCACTAAGAAACTTGAAAGAAAAGGAACCCAAAAAATGCAAGAAAATGAATTAAAAATAATTATCTGAAGGAAACTCAATGAGATACAAAAGAATTTAGATAAACAATACAACTCAGATAAATAATACAAAATATAAATGAGGAATTCAACAAAGAGAATATATTATAAGAAAGAGCCAAACAGTAATCCTTGAAATAAAGAATTTAACAAATGAAATAAAAAATACAGTAAAAATAGTTGAGAACATAAACAATAGGCTAGATTAAGTAAAAGAAGAAATTTCTAAACTTGAAGACATAACTTTTCATAATAATCCTGTCAGACAAAAAGAAAGAAACAAGATTAGATAAAAAGAAAAAGAATGAAGAAAGCCTATGAGGCACCATTATTTAAAAAGAATTTTGCATTTTGAGAATTCCAGAATGAGAAGATAAGGAAAAAGACATATTTTATGAAATAATTACTGAAAGTTTAGGGAGATACACAGACATCCAGATTCAAGGAATAAAAAATTTGAAAATAGATTCAACCCACAAAGGTCCTCTCCAAGGCACATTTAAAAATGTCAAAAGTCAAAGACAAAGAGGATTTTTAAAACAGTAAGAGAAAAATCGTCCAGTCATATATTAAAAAATGCCATTAGACTAATAGAAGACTTTTCAGCAGTAACCTTGCAGGCCAGGAGATAATGGGATGATTTATTTAAAGTACTGAGAGGAAAAACAAAACATATAAACAAAAACCTCTGGCCCCAAACACTACATTCAGCAAAGATATTCTTCAGAATTGAAGGAGAAATTAAATTTTTTCCATATAAGCAAAAGCTGAGAGAATCATAGTTACTAGATCAACTTTCCAAAAAATACCTAGGAGTACTACATCTGAACAAAAAAGAAAATGTATAAAACTCCCTGGTACAGAAGTCACATAAATAAATAGAAAGAAATGCAATCTTATTATGGAAGATAACCAAACCGCAATGATAAACCATAATAGAGGAAGAAACAAAGAAAGCACAAAACAAGCAGAAAAAAAAAATGAACAAAATGACAGGAGTAAGCCTACACTTATTGATAATAACCATGAATATAAATGTATTGAATTCCATAATCAAAAATTGTAAACTGGCTGAATGGGTAAAAACAAAACAAACGAAACCCAGTATATGCTGCCTACAGAACCTCGTCTATAAAAACCAAGAGTGAAGAGATTGTAACAGATATCCTGGGCGAAAAAGGTTATCAATACCATAAGAAAATATGACAATAGTAAATTTTATATATATATATTATAATTGAATACAAATATATAAAACAAACATTACAAGACATAAAATAAGAGAGATTTTCCAATACAAAAGAGTTGGGGATTTCAACACCTCATTCCCAGGATTTAACAGGTCATCTAGGCAGAAAATCAACAAAGAAATATTGGTGTTAGACTATACCATAGACCAAATGGACCCAATTGACATTTACAGAAAATTTATTCAATAGCTGCAGAATACACATTCTTCCCAACAGCGCACAGAACATTCTCCAAGGTAGACCATACATTAAGCCATAAAAAAAGCCAACCACTCCCATAAAAAAAAAAAAAAAAAAAAAAAAAAAAAAAAAAAAAAAAAAAAAAAAAAAATACACAAAAAAAAAATAAAAAAAGTTACATATCTTTTTGTCTATAAGAGGATAAAACTAAATTCAATAACAAGAGTAAGTGTGAAAAACACAGAAATACGTGAAGACTAAAAGGATGACCTGAGTGACTACCAGGTCAATAAAGAAGTTAATAAAGAGATTAAAAATTTCTTTAAACAAATAAAACAGAAACACAGCATACCAAAACCTATGCGATACAAAAAATTAGTACTGAAAGGGAAATTTACTACAATGAATACCCACGTCTATCAATAAATAGAAAAAAATTAGAAAGATGACAAAAAAAACCCCTGATGATACATCTCAAGACACTGAAAAGGCAAGATTAAAGAAAAAAGCAAGACCAAACTAATAAAAGTAGTAGAAGAAAAAAATAATAAAGGTTTGAATAGAAATAAATGAAATAGAGACCCCTCCCAAAATAATACAAAAGATAAATGAAATAAAATTTGTTTTTTTGAAAGGATAAACAAAATTAGCTAGTCTAACAAAGGGAAAAAAAAGAGAGGAGACTTGAATAGATAAAATAAGAAATGGAAAGAGGAGACATTACAATTGATACTATGGAAATTAAAAAGATAATTAAGGAGCATTTGATTTCAGATGGTTTTCTTGTCTTTTTTTTTCTTTTTTCTTTCTTCCCTTTCTTTTCTTTCTTTCTTTTTTTTTTTTTTTTTTTTTAGAAGTTTTTGCTATAGGGTGTGTGTGCTCTCTAGAGAGACAGAGAGACAGAAAACAAGAAATCACCCCCAAGGAGGATAGCCATGCCACAATCCCTTCTTCTTTCTCCTCTTGGGATCTTGGGCACACGCCCGGTGTGAGTTTAAACTGCCAGGTCCAGGACTCGAATTGCAGTCAACCACATGGGAGTCCAGCGACAGCTATTACTCCAACTGCTGGTCCCCTCCCCTTTATAATGAAGATGGGTGATAATATTTGGAGGCTGAATTTATGAATTAAAGACTCAGTTCAGCCATTAATTGATTATATTATCATAGGCAGTCTATGTAAAAAAAGTTCAAGCTTTTTATTTCCATTATTTTATTCTTCCTTAAAAATATTTCATAGACTTGTTATGAGATTAAAAACATAAATAAGAATTTAAATTCATTCTTAACTACGAAAAAGTTTGTAGGCATTATACATTTTTTTCGTCCTGTCATCTCGCTCTTGTTTCTGATTTTTGTTTTAATTCCGTTTTAGGAGATTTCTCCCCTCTTCCATGGAGGCTCATTTCTAGCGTGCTCAGTGTCATGTGCCTTCTCTTGATGGCGATAGCTATTGCAGTGGCCGTTTTGACTGCAAACTGTAAGTAACTACAGAGTCTTCCAAATTACCTTCCCCTTGGGAGTATTATTCATTTCATCAAAAAAAACCCCCAAAAATAGATATTAGGTTCACAATAATTTTGCCTTTTTATTTTCTTTAAAATGGCTGATTTACTCCTATAGAATAGAGCCCTTTGATATTTTGACATGTCAGGTTAAAGAAAGATCTGATTATGCTATTGACTATTTTTGTAGCATCTTCCAACAGAACATCTCTCAGCAGCCAGCAGAAAGGTAGGCAATGGTTTTATAAACCAACTTCTTAAACTCATTTAAACAAAAAGTACATTTATTAGTTGTATCAACTCTGGTTTTCTATGCAAAGCACTTTGGTGTATGTTACAGAAAATATATGAGAACCATTAAAGAAAATATAAGACAATATAAAAATACGGATCTAAATTCTTTTTAGAAATTCTAATAAGTCCCATAGGTCTGTAGAAGAGTAGAATTAATGCTGGAACTAATTTTGGAGGTAGAGTATATATTGGAAAGGCAAAATTTCAACAAAAATTAATCTAATGGTGATGGAAGGTGAGGACATTCAAGTCCTTAAATGCTATAACGACATGGAGGTAAGAAAACTAATGGTTCAGCTAGGCCTTAGATAAATAAACCCCAGTAGACTTGTATTAAAGTGTATATAAAGATATATATAATAGCATCAAGTTGAGAGAAAAATTAAAACACAATTTTCATTTATGATTTATAATTTTATTGTAACATTTTTGCTGTCTATTACATTACTATAATGTAATTAGTTGTACTTTCTTTCATTAGCTGTGCTTTTAATAAAATCAGACTGAACTTCTTCAATGCACTGATAGAGAATCTTTGTGTAGGACATTGTTGCCATCCTTGTCCGAAGAATTGGGTCTGGTTCCAATGCAGTTGTTATTACTTCTCTAAGGAAATGTTAACTTGGGAAGATAGTCAGCGTGCCTGCTTATCTCTAAATTCCAGTCTCTTGGAGATAAACAAGGAGGAGGCTGTAAGTTGTTACTAAATGTGAGCGTCCTGTGGTAAATGAGATGTGTGAAGCTGACTGACTGACTAAAGCTAAGGATTAATTTACATTACTTGGTTTGAACTCAGCACTATATCAATGACTATAGAATATAGCTAGTTGACCTTTTGCTCTAACTTTCACATGCATAACAGAAGTCCATATTTTGTGTAAAGAAGAGAGAAATGTTTTGAAATAATATTTAAAATTCTTTTTATGAAAAAGATTTTGAAGGAGACAAGACTAAGTTAGTCAAAGATAAAAGAACCCCAGTATAGCCCAGCATCAAGATGGTGTAGCCTTTTTGGTTCAAAAGTTACTACCATCATGTGATCCAGAACATATGGGGGAAGATGAGAATTTTTCCCAATTCCAAAAATATACATCAGCATCATTTGTTTTACTTATACTTATTTATTTTTTATATATCTCATGAAAGCAGAGAATTTGTATTTTTCACTACTATATCATCAACATTTAAAAATAGTCATGTAATATAGTATTTGTTAATGATTTTTTTGGAATAGATGTAATATAGTATTTATTAATGATTTTTTGGAATAGATGAAAAAATATATATCCAATTCATCATATATATGTGTGTGTGTGTGTATATATATGTATACATATATATATGTGTGTATATATATATATATATATATACACACACATATATGATATTGAATTCTTTTTAAATTTACTTCTGTGCAGTTGATGAAAATATAATAATGAGAACTTTATATTTGCATATGTTTGCTTACCACCAGAATTTCTTCTCTTTGAGATCTTTTTATTGGATTGGAGGCCATAAAAGAATTGGCAATAATCATTTGGCTTCGTCCTCTGATTCGTAAGTATTTACCTGACATAATACTCTTAGTTTAATTACTGTATTTGCTAAAATAAACAGTGTTTGTTCAAGGTAAGATGAATAAAAGATGCCTGGGACATATATTCAAGAACATTCAGGGAATTAGGGAAAGCAGCAGTAACTACAATCCAATTTCATATTTGGAATTATGGATATTAGACATGGACAACTTTATTCAATTTGCTTATTCTCTTAAGAATTTTTCTTGCAAACATATTGGTTTCCTAGGGCTGTTATAACAAAATACAACAGACTGAGTGGTCTAATCAATATAAATTTATCTTCCATAGTCCAGAAGGCTAGAAGTCTGAGGTCAAGGCATCAGCAAGTTGGTTTCTTCTGATGTCTCTCTCCTTGGCTTGTACATGGCCATCTTATCCCCATATCTTCACATGGTCTTTCTTTTATTCTACGTTCAAAGTTTTTCTTATTATAAGAATACCAGTCCTATTAGATTAGGGTCTACCATAATGATCTCATTTTAACTCACTTACCTATTTAAGGATATTCTGAGGTACTGGAGTTGAGGATCTCAACATATGAATTTTGAAGGAGACACAGTTTGGTCTATACCACTCTGCCTCTGGGTCCCCAAACCATATATCTTTCTCATACTCATAGCACATCTACTCCATCCCAATAGCCCTTAAAGTCTTAACCCATTCCAATATAAACTCGAAGTCTAGCATCTCATTCAATTATCATTTATATCCAGTATGAATGACACTTGAGGTATGACTCATCCAGGAACAAAATTCCTTTCCAGATTTTTTTTTTTTTTTTGGAGAGGTTTTTGCTATAGGGCGTGTGCACTTGCCAGAAAGATAGAGAGACAGAGAGACAGAAAGTGAGAAATCACCCCCAGGGGGGATGGCCATGCCGCAATCCCTTCTCCTCCATTATCCGCTTGGGATCTTAGACACGCACACACACGCGCGGCGTGAGTTCAAGCTGCTGGGTCCAGGACTCGAACTGCAGTCGACTACATGGGAGTCCAGCAACATAGCCATTAGTCTAACTGCTGGTCCCAAGACTAAGTCTTGAATATAGTCACATTATGAATACTGAGCATCAGGACACCAACATATGATTGGGGGGGCACACATTCAGTCTATAATACAAAACATGGTTTAAAATCTGTTTATCAACAGCCAGACTGTTCTGTAAAAACTAACTCCCAGCTCTTTTATATATCCTTAAAGTTTTTCCAGTCTTTGATATTCAATTCCTGTGAGTCTAAAGACTACGGAATCTAAACATATTTTTACTCCTCTAGGAAAATCTAATTAGGCTTGTTACCTACAGGCTTATTATTATTATTATCATTATTTTTAGAGGAATTTTTGCTATAGGGTGCATGCACTTGGAGGAGAGAAAGAAAGCGAGAAATCGTTCTCCTGTGGGATGACCATGCTGCAATCCCTTCTCCTCTCAGGAATTTGGGCATGCACACACACATGCCCAGTGTGATTTTTAAGCTGCCAGGTCTGGGACTAGACCATGGTTCACTATGCGGGAGTCCAGCAACATAACCATTACACCATCTGCTGATCCCAGGCTTTTTATTACTTTAAATTGACATTTTACCTTTACAACCCTTGGTATCTTGATGTGTTTTCCTTTTAGACTCTATAAATCCTTGGTTGAAATATTAATTCATATTTAAAGTTTTTTAATCTATCACTAACTTCAACTTACTAACAGTTTACTTAACCATGCCACTGAGTGATAGAAACTATATTACATATTATATATATATACACACATATATATTATATATAAACATATATTTTATATATATATATATACTTTTTAAAGAGAGAGAAATACAGATGGTAAGAGAGAAAGTGTGAAATCACCCCCAGAGGGTATGGCCACACCACAATCCTTCTCCTCCATTCTCCTCTTGGGATCTTGGGCACACAGGCATACATGTCCGGCATGAATTTCAGGCCACTGGGTCTGTGACTCAAACCGTGGTCAGCCAGCCATTTCCAGTGACGTAACTGCTACACCATCTGCTGGTCCCATAAACTATATTTTGAAAATTTATATGTAAAATGAAAGCTCTATATTTCTTCCCTTTGGGATTTGAAAGTTATAGAATTTCCTAATAACTGTGACATTTCTTCTGTTTTAGGTCGTATCTCCCTCCACCTCAAAGACAAAATTTATGTCCATCTTACGGATTGAAAGGCACTGACTTATATGAAAACTGTAAAACGAAACAGACCTACATTTGTAAGAATCACCTTATTTATTCTGTGGAGTCACAAGAGTGATGAAAATGATCTTGTCTCACCCTCTGTCTTGACAATACTGCCATTAGTCACTTCCAGTTCTATAGAGAAAAATGTGTAAATTTACACCTTTCACTTAATAAAAATAGCATCTTATAAAAATATATTTAAATGCCATTCTTTAAGTGTGTTTTGATTTTGTTGAGCAGATACAACTTGTCTTTCATAATTTTTTGTGAAATAAGGCTGTTACCATATTTAGAGGAATAAATGTATACGTATACATTTAGAAGACATTACGATAACGAATTTATGGATTAAACAAAGAGATAAGGTCAGTGACGTAGAGTCAGATCATTAGATTTGAGGCTGTGCTCTGTTAACTATCGTCTCTGCTTCTCAGACATTTTGTATTTGATATTTTATCTCTGCTGTGTTCTCATTAAAACTGGTATTTAACTATAAAGTCCTGCCACCGATGATCAAGGATGGGGTTGAGTGTTAATATACTTGGCAAAGTGATGGCTGTTTTACTAACTTACTAACTTTATTTCAAGAATAAATTTTGTCAGATATCAGTTTTCTTTTCATCTGACGTGAACTATCTTTATATCCATTTTGAAAACTTTCTGTTCTAATCAGTATTCCATGGTGATAAGAGTTCAACAGGAACTTGGGGAGGGGAAGGCGAAGGCAAGAATTCTTTTCACTGAGAGGTCAGTATTTTTAAAATCATATTTATATAAATAGTGACCATGACAATTTTCTTGTCACTATTGAACCCTATGTAAGTTAAAGATTGCTCTTCTTGTCTTTTATGTCCAGCTACAAAACATGCCACTTCTATACACTCTGGTAGAAGACATTTTCACGTAAAAAAGAATCTCATGGAAAATGTGACCCAGTATTTACAGTCATAAAAATGCTTTATGATCTTTATATTACTTTCCTTTGTGTTTTCTTTTAATGGTTAAATTCTGTCAGGTTCTGAGTATAGTGTTGCTTCCTGTGGTCAGACCTGCTGGAGGGATAAAAATAACGCTGTTAAAGCTACCATGATCAGCCACATCCCTGCTTGTAAAACGTACTTTTGATCTCCTTTCCTCCTTAAGCTATGGCTTAAGGTAAACGGTTAGTCAGGTAGACGGCTTCAATTCCCCATAATTTTTGCAGCAGCTATTATCCCTTTCATCAGGCATGCTATTCCTCTACACATTAGCTGTCCACTTTATTACCAAGATGGATGGTCACAGCAAGACCAGAGCCGACGTTAACTGCTACTGCAAGCAGCAGCGACTCTATGGTTAACACTCTATGTCACCCCCTTTAACTGGCATAGAGTGCATTGACCTGATGACTGAAGTCTGATCAAATCGTGGGTCAGGGTCCAGAGATTCCCATTAAAGTTTGAAGCTTAATCTAGAGACTTACCATATCTGGTGGCTTAAGTCCTATGAGTCTCAGTATTATGCATATATATATGTATGAATGTAAACATATATACACATAGGCGTACAGAATATTTTATATAGGATATACATGCTAATTATGTTTTCTAGTTTTTTTTTGAGCATTTGTCATGTTCAGTATTTTGTATGTTTGTACATTGAACCATTGAAGCAGTCTCATGATGTATTTCTAATAAACTATTCAGTGTGATTTTACATCTTTCAAATGACAGGACTGTATATTAAAAGGATCATGTAGTCTTTGCAAAATCTTACAAATAATAAAATCGGGTACTTATTACTACTTACTTTTGACAGCTGACAATTAACAGGTTGAAAGAAGAAAGTGTTTACATAATTAGGATGAGTTAAAAATTAGCTCTTGGGGCCAGCAGGTTGTTGGCGGTTAAGGCATTGGACTTGCGCATGGCTGACTCTGTGGTTCGAGTTCTAGAGCCAGCACCTTGAAACTCATGCCAGGCATGTGTGCATATGTGCCCAAAATCTCGAGAGGAGAATGGAGAGGGAATAGCAGCATGGCCATTTCCCCTGCTGGGTGATTTCTCACTTTTTCTTTCTCTGTCTCTTCTGGCAAGCACACGTACCCTATAGCAAAAATCTCTCTCTCAGAACAAAAATTAGCTCTCAATGCTAACTAGCTCACTTTTGTATTGTCATTTTCTTTAGTTTTGTGCTTCTGTTTTCCTAGATTCTCTGTATGTTTTTTCACATTAGATTATCCTACTCAATCAATAATTTAGAGAAATTATAAATATCACCAAATAAGCCCATTTGATTCAATATTCCTTTTAACTGACACTTAAAAATTGCACACATTTATGGGTAACAGCATGGTATTCTTTTTCTTTCTTCCTCGTAAGTGTATTTTTAAATTCCTGCTCATCAATTCTTGTTTGTCTCACTCTGCGTCACACTCAGTACCTTCTTTATGTCTTTTATATATTCCCATAATTCTAGCATTGTTACCAGTTCTTGGGACAGCAGTATGAGAAAGAGTATCCATACCAGTGTTCACAATATGAACATAACATTATACATTAAACAACTTCCGAAATATTTTTTTAATGAAAAATTGTTGTTTGTTGCATAAAAAGTGATAGTCACAGTATAAAGAAGAAAACTACTTCTATAATTTGTCTGACAGAGAACACCAGGTGAAAAAGCAACCAAGAGATTTTTTCAGATTCTATAATTAAGAGAATTTGCAATGTATATTTCTATTTTTTGAACTCTAATTTGAATCAAATGGTGTAGACATCATTTATACCATTTGACATCATTTACATCATTTACCCTTTTATCAGACAATATTAATAATGACTTTAGCATTGCCATTTACCTTCTGTACATTAGCATGGTGATTTTATACTATACTAGGCTTGCTGTTTTACAATCACCATCTCATCTATTTTCTGTTGTGGTACAGTATATGTAACATAAAAAAAATCATGATTTTAGCTATTTTAAATGGACCACCAAGTGGCATGAGGCATACTGTCACCAGTATATTATTCATGTCCAGAGTTTCTCACCATCGCAAACAGAAACTCTACACATTAAACAACCTCCCTTCCTCCAGCCCCGATAACCGGTATTCCTTTTCCTTTCGTGTCTGGCTTATTTTACTTTATTA